ATGCAGAGGAGTTGCCGCCATCGGCTGTCGTTTCCCCACGCCGCACAAGATTGGCCATGGCCGCCTCGAGTTCGTCGCGGGAGAAGATGCTCGCCCGCGTTGACAGCTAGCAGTCGTCCGCCTGCTGGGTCGCGCGCGTGCAGAATCAGCTTGGAGGAAGAGAGTAGAAGAGAAAACATAGGAGTAACCCACCACTGGGAGGTGCGGGAGGTAGAACAGGGAGGAGGCGAGATGGAGGAGTTGTTCGGGTGGCCCGTCCCCATGCATGAGGAAGAAGATAGGAGCTGGGGTTGGGGATGGTCGCCGACGAGCTCTGCCGATTCTTTATTCCGCGCCACCTAGAGGGCTCAGGTGACGTCGTGCAAAGCACAAGGTAGTGGTGCACGGAGGAAAGCCAGCGGCGGCGTGCAGGGGAGCTTCGAGCTGCGGCACGCGGGGTGGCCTAGCGGCAGCTCACGGGTGACTGCCGAAAAAGGGTTTCCCCCCGCTTTGTATACAAAGCAACCAACCGAACCATACAGGGATAGGTGCTGGGGCGGAAGCAGCACAGACATGCCCAAAAGAAACGACAGAGAAAGAGCAAAAGAAACAAATGCCGACAACGACGGATCAACAAAAACGAAGAAGCCTCGCGATCGCTGCGCCCACCGGAATCTACCCCTAGGCTCCAAGACTCCGAAGCGCCGGCACCTATCAACACCTCCAAGAAGGATCGCGACGATGACGATGCTGCTGCCAAGGGTTTCCCCCGGTACACGACGAGGCGAGAGGCAGGGTAGCCCCCGACGCCCTCCCGGAAGGTCAGGTGGCACCCTCAAGCGCCACCGTGCCGGTGTCGGCCACGCCGACAGGGGTTTCCCCCGATCCCAACCCGCACCTCGGGCGCTTCGGATCCATCCACCAAACCAACCACCACCCTGCGCCAACACGGTCATGAGGCCCCCACGCCGTCTCACCACGGCACCACGAGATGAAGGCAGGCGGCGAAGGATCGGAGCCGGGACTAGGGCATCAGCACCATCGGCAGGCGGGAGGGCCCCACCTCCACCGTCAGCGACGGTAGCCGTCCGGACACAATAGCAGGAGCACACCAGATCCGGCCGAGCCCTCGTGGGCCCGTAAAGCTCCCGCCTTCGCGCTGCTGCCGGCACGCCATCAGCGCCGACGCCCCAAATCCGAGCCGCTCCTCCTCCTCACCGCGCCGCAGACAACGAGGCCATGCCGGGGGCCGGCCCGCTAGGACCAAGATGGGGCCCACCGGGCCCAGATCTGGGCCGGGGACGCGACGTCGGCCACCCAGCACCACCACGCCGCCCCGCCGCAAAGGAGCAGTGCCACCACCACATCTGCCGCCGGCCACCACGCCGGGTCACCGGACCGCCGCCCAGCCGAGCGACACCGCCGCCGTCCCCCTGCCCCGGGCCAGGAAGACGCGCGCGCGGGGAAGAGAGATCCTGCCGCCGCCGGCACCCCCCGGGCCGGAGCCGGGGGCGCCCGCCGGCGACGGCAGGGGAGAGGGAGAGTGGAGCACGGCCGAGAGCAGCGCCGCGGGGGCCGCCCCGGCCACCTCCCGGGGAGGAGGCGCGAGGGCGGAAGGAGGGAAGGGGAGGAAGGGCGGGGGGAGGGCGGCGACGGGCAGGGGTAGGCGGCGGCAGCTAGGCTTGCGGGTCAAGGGAGCCGCTCTCACTCACGGGTGACTGGGGGCAGCGTCGCTAAGGAACCAGGGAACCACGGCGGCCGAGGCCTGTGATATGGCGATTGAGCATGCGCTGCTCCGACATGTGTAGCTGTCCAGCTTCCCACCACAGCGTCTTCATCCACATCAACGACATGAAAATTAATTGGAAAAGCAAGAACCCAATTGATTTTTTTATTGCCTCTCCCCTCCAGATTTTTCCCATATCGTGAGATAGTGGCTGTGGCATGTTGGGGCTGACGCAGCAAACACAGAGATAGAAGCTTGCGGAGAAGTTGCGCAGTGCTGGCGGGCAGGCCGGGGTGGCGTGGACGGAGGTGCTAGATTGGAATGCCGAGGTGATGAGGACGGTGCAGAGAAATAACAGAACACAAAGACAGGGGTGCTTGTGCTGAAGATACAGAACAAAATCGTGTTTGTGTATGTCCGGCCGACAGATGAATCAATCTCCTTTCAAGTTTCAACCCAGCAAACTTCATGTACGTACATGTGTGTATCAAGGACGCACGGATCCATTGGCCTGAGCACGACACATCAGTTCACTAATTCCATCAGTGTCACTAATTCCATCAAGGTAAGTATGATTCCCTAATCCTTGAGTTTCTTAGTCGATCTTTGATCTTTGATCCCTAATGTCGTCATATTTTATTGATTCTACAAAAGATCTCAAACAGGAATACATAGCATGATTTAGATGGAACCATTTTTGAGGCTACAATTCCTATAACTTCCCTTGTCAATTTGATAAAATTACATTTGTGGTGGAGATTCAAGCCTATTACGGTTTACATTGTCAGAATTCTTCAAGACCATCTGTCGATCCTCACTATGTTTGAAAACATATTTATATATTTGTGTGCTGGATTTTCTTATGTAGATGCTATATGAGAGCAAGCTATACGACAATCCTGCTCAACTTGGTACAGATCAGATCGATTTTATTGTAAATATTTATGCTTGATAGATACAAGCCTCCCTCTTCGGCCTTTCTTTTATCCATCCTAAGCAGGTCGCCAGCACTTGTCAATCGTTGCTGCCTTGACTCGCCGCCGACGTCGCCGGTTGGGCCGAAGGGTACAAGATCATCATGCGGCCCAGTGCATGGGCGCCGAGTATGCTTGATTGCCATGTCGGAGGCGGAGGTCCTAGAGCTTGGTGGCATGTGTCTGATGATTTTTTTTCTCCCGTTGCAACGCACTGATCGATTTATTCATGCATCCGCTGATTTACTCTGAATTTTTTTTCAGCCGTCAAACATTAACAGGATTGGTTCGTGGATATGCAGTGTGACAAGTCGTGTGAGGCGAAGGTGGTGAACTGTCTCAATGTGAAGCCATGTATGTGGTGGATTTTCCATGGTTGATGGTAGAACGGTAAGGGTAAAAGTTTGAGCTGTCAAATTTTGTGTGATCGATCTCCTGGATGGTCAAACCTGAAAAGTTCAGTGAAGATTCAGATTACAGACGGATGCCTTTTCTGCCTACAATGCTATAATCACGCCAACTATGCGCATGGAGTACCAGAGATGATACAAAAATTGCTTCAGATAGGCAGGTGGGTGCATGCAGAACTGCTGAGGCCGGATGGTGTCCGGGACCAACTATATGTCACTAAGCTTGATTCTCGCACCTTGCATTCTTCCGTTGCAACGCACGGGCATTTTTTGCTAGTAATTAATAAAATGAGTACATGCATTGCCCAGATGCAGAGGCTGGGGATCATTCTCCTTTTCGAAAAAACTCCACCGCCACTTCACATCTTTGGGATGCAATGACCGGCGCCTGGATTAGATGCCACAGTTTGGCCTTTTGTACTGCTCACAATTCTATGTCGTATTTGGGGTGCTGGGAATGTAATGACCTTCAAGAATTAAGACCTACACTCCATCTCTACACTCAAGCTCATTGTCTCAGACTTAAGACTTATGCCCACATCGCTTAAAAAAGCAATGTGATGAGGACGCTGTTTTCTTGTCGCCGCTGCCTTTGAGTAATATATTTAGGTGAGGGAGCTCTCCCCTGGGTGATTCTAAAACTATCTCATGCATTTTTGGCTATATATTGAATCATATTGAATGAGTCCTACAAGACCAGCACAGGTGCAGCATACATGGAGCCATCAGAATATATTCAATCAGTCTTACATAATGAAAGGTTACAAGCCAGCAGAATACACACTTAAAAAATATCGTGACAACGGTTTTGGCTTACATACAATCAGTCTTACAGAATGGAAGTTTAGCGGTTGTGGTGGATTCTTGCCAAGGCGGGCCAACCGAAGGCAACGACAAAGGGCCAAAGTGCCACGATCAGCATGAGCGTGTGCATCTTTAATAACTCTGTCATTCCTGAGAACAACCCTTTCCTAGTACATAACGGTCGTGCAAGAATAGCCAATTTAATAATAGTCTCTACGTTTTTACTTAAAAATACGGCCGGAGTGATAAGACAAACCGCAACAGTGGTACTGCGAGCAACTGGAGCTAACACCATATACACACCCAATGCAAAAGCAATAGACATGCATGTGACTGAACTCGATAAGCAAAACACGGATAAGGAACAGTTAACCTTGCGGGTATTCAAGTTAATCATCGGCATTGCAGCAACCGCGAAGCCACCCGTAGCTACTGTGGAGCAGATGAAAGCTAAGGTGGTTGCCATTATGAAGGTGTCAAAAGCATAACTCCCAGAGAGTGTTGGCGTGCCTCCATTTTTATGATCATCGGCTCGGTAACCTCCAGGAAAGGCAAAACTTGCACTGAACGCCACAGTTGCTATTAAGACTGAAACAATGATTAGCGTTTGTGTTGCCTGTTTCAGCATTTCTGCATCTTTTTCTGGCTTTACACCCTGACGGTAAACTTCTTCAGCCTTATCCCAGCGAAAGGCACCATGGTTCGCCCCAACAGACCACAAGGCGCTGTGTATTCTATTCTCAGGGTTCTGGCATAAAAATAAGCAGGAACAGTGAGTACCAAATGAAGAAATGTGGTATGGGGTGTGACCTTGAAAGTAAAATGGAAAGTGTCTTACCAGTCCATAACTCATTGCCCTTGGAAGTTCTCCTCTGGATAGATCAAGAGGAGTTTCCCCATGGTTATTTGTTAGATTCAAATTCACCTCCAGATTCCCAAATAGAGCACAAAACATCGTAAAGCTCCGTGACTGGATAGCCAAGTGTAGTGCAGTGTTCCCCTCATTGTCTTGCATATTCAGAATCCAAGCTAAACCTGGAGTTTGACATGCATACAGGACTATTTGCAGTCTTTCATTCTCGACAGCAACATGAAGGAACGTTCTCCCTTTAGCGTCGCTCAGTCCAACAATATTCGGATAAATGACATGGAAATACCGTATGGCGCCTAAGGCACCAATAGAGGCAGCCACATGTATGGGGAAAGATCCGTTCTTGTCTGTTTGATACAGCGCTAAGCGGTTCGCCTCCAATACTTTCTCGAGGGTCCGTGTAGATCTCCATGGACACCATAGAAAACGACACCATGGGCGTACGCGGAGGCGCTCAATATGCAGATAAGAGCCCATCCAAAAAAACACTGATGAGGCAAAGTGAAGCGGCGTACTCCCATCTTTGTCCACTTGTGTAGTAAGGCTCTTGTCCCAATTCAATAGGTATTCTACCATCACTGTAAAGAAAAGTACCTTGTATGTTACTGAATCGAAAAAAGGTCTGTAATGTTCTTATTCAATCATGTAGAAATTATATATCTTCGGTAAAGACAACAACTTCAAGTGTAAGATGATTATCTATTCTACTACTCCCTCTCTAGATATATACATCAGTTTGAGCCACAAGTAATTTCAGACAAAAAGTAAAAAAGATGCTAGAAATCCCATAAAAACGTAAAACATTTGGTCGTTGACTTGGTAGGTCCCAAGTTAAATAATAGTTTCAAAGGCTTAGATTTGACGCAGGCTCTAGAAATATAAAGTGACATTAAATTATGGCGGACTTTTTTTTCTTCTAATAATACACTTACCTAGCAAATTAGTATCTACGTATCTTTTCTTTATGAAGAAACATGCACGTATAGAATAGCACAAGCATATCAACAGGTACGTTTTATGTTTGTCTGTAAACAATGGGCTTCCTAAAACTCAGTCGAGTGAGATTTAACCAAGTCTTAGTCGACCTTACATCATTTTATCCCATCATTTTACAACATTTCTTCCTACCGGTTGCAGCATCCGTCTTGCTGGTTGTAGCATGTCGTCTCACTGGTCGCAACATCCTCCATTCACAATTGTAGCATTTTAGTCAAAACGGCTATAGCCTTGTTATCGTTGCTTGCGGTACCATCATAACATTTTTCGGCATCGTTTGTAGCATCTAGCTGTGTCAATCGTACGACCAAAACTACGCTGACGTCACTCCACTAAGACTTCGTTAAGTATCGGTCGACTGAGTTCTAGACGCACCCTAAATACAAAGGTTCCTGTGTAAACCTCGAAGCATTTGGACTGCCCCAAGCACAAATATATATGTTGCTCTTGCAATCAATGGCTTCACATTTTTCACCGGTGTTTCTTGCCGACCATTCTGTATACGTGTGCCTGTCCCATAGGGCCACGAAGAATTGCTCTAGTGAATTAGGGAGTGCACGAAAAATATGGTGAGTAGCTTTGCTAGAATTGCTCTAGTGAATTTTGGGACACACTCGACAATGTGACATCATTTTCCACCAATCTACACATTGTATTAAAAACCAACAACATTCAGTTAAACCCGAGCACATCGGCGACAAGGTATCGATCCAACGGAGATTTTGGCGTCATGACACGTTTTCAGCGGTGATTTCAGCTTTTTGCTGCCGATTCCAACGGTGACAAAACTCAATAACAACGGCAATGTTCGAGACCGTGAGAAGAACTATAGCATGCATCCACATGGATGCACATCTAGTGTTGCTCACAGTTTCAAATGTCAACGTCGATTTCACTTTTCCACGCATCACATATCTCATCGTCGAGTCGCCTATGTCTTCCCACCTAACAGTAAAAATTATGCTAACAGTTTTGGGGACACAAAAGATATTTGCAACAATCCTCGTGTCTATCAAAATGGTTGGTATAATTTTGACCAACGCTTCTCCTTTTACGATCCCGCTCCTCCTCCGAGAACAACACCTAGTTCGCAAGCGGTGATAGTAGGCTAGGGCGGTTAGAAGGGGAGTGGAGGTTGTGGGGACAAGAAGGGAGGTGGAAGCTATGGTGTTTTTTATAGCTGCGAGTGCCTGAAAAAATGCAGTCGGCAGGAAAAAGTGTAGGTAAAATGACAGATGATAATGAGGAAGGTGAAGCTTCCATCTCGCGTGACCAGTTGGCATATGGCGCCCGCTCTAAACCGAAGCCCACAATCACCAAGTATGGAGGCTCGCGACCTCCATAAATTATGGTGACTCGGGCTTATGGCGACTCTGCTAGTGGCATTGTGATAAAAAAATGTCATATTGATATATGAAAAGTAAGATATGAGTCATAAAATCATAAAATTTACCTTTATATGAATATTTTATACCATAATTTTACATTTGTAATTTTACATCATATAAAATATTTTTTACGAATGACATATAAGTTTGTTATCGTCCCTTTTGACTCCGGAAGTGAGAAAATATTTATGAGACGTAAAAATATGGTGTAGTGACGTAACAAGAGATGGGTGAAAAGTAACTATTCGTCACCTTGGGTGATGAATAGTCTGACCCTATAGTAATTATATTGATCTATGAAGAAATGCTTGGAGAGGTTACCAAAGAAATAGCCCTAGAAATAGGATTTTCCCCTACTTCACATATAAAAGCACAAACAACCGAGCCCATAAAAGTTGATGAGGATATCCCCTTTTAAAGCAAGACAAAATAAAAACAACAACCGGGAGAAGCGGAAATGCAACCAACTCAAAGTTGAGAAAGATAATAGGAGTCCAACTTCCATCAAGAGCTAAATGAGACTACCGACAATGAATGATCCCGCACCTTCTTGGGAGACCACTAGACATGGTTGCACCGCATACAACCAACTGCCCTCGTGCTACGGGCCACGAAGCACTCATCCTGCTTGCAGATAGCGAGGACTGAGAATGGTTACAACTAGGTGACATGTAAAGGTAGGAGACAAAAGAGACGACCTCACACCAACATCGATGAAGCTTCACACCTGGATCATAGCATGCTTTGAAGACGTGGCGCGCTTTAACGAGTAGGTACCTAGACTTGAGGATTCAACGTGCCATCAGCGCTGCCTGAAAACATGGGCTAGGATTTTCACACGGAGCCCTGACGTGGTGATAGATCCAACGTTGGTGCCCGTTAGAAGGAAGCGGACCACTGGAATCGCCATCATCGGTGCCGAATTGTGGAGCTTTCGCTCGAAACCTCACTAGCTCCCCTAGGGGGTAATAATGCCACCAACCCAAACCAAAGGAAGGGCCGCTGCCGCCAGCTCAAGGCCTCCAGTTCAAGACCAGAGCGTCGTCACCGCCGAAGCCACGATGACATCAGGACTACCCGTTGCATTTCCCCTTGCTCCCCACATAGCCATGGAGTGATGTCACCTCCAATGTAGCGTTTCTCGCCATTGATCCAACCGTGCAACTTCACCTTTTAGAGACACAGTCGACGCAACCAGGCCCACACACCCCACTGTACAAACCTATGATGTGCCAGTCACCCATCGAAGGTAGGATAGAAATTCACCTCCTTTTCCATCTCTTGTGCACCAGTTACCAACTCGGAAAAAACAAAGAGGGGCCCACCCCGACGACTACAACTGACACACGAGAGGCAACACTGGCTGGCGTCAATGAGAAGGGACGCGCAACACCAACACGCCATGGCTCCCAAGGCCCGAAGAACCCATACCCCACTACCGGTGTTGAGGGAAACACCGCAACCAACTACCATGACGCCTGAGCAAAGCAACCAAGTCAGGGAAGGAAACCCAGATCAAGGCGGCGCCACCATACCGGGCAGGGATGCCCCAACCCCACGGGCCATGGATCTCATCCCCCGGGTCGGCCACCAATACACTGTTGGAGGGGAAGGAAGCCCGAAGGGAGGTGGTCGCAGGTCGTAAGCGAAGGCACCCACGGTTTTGGATACTGGGCGAAAAAACGGTAACTTCCCGGTAACCACAAATTCTCGCCACCCCACGTGAAACCCTTCTACCGAGTAAACTTTTTTGGAAATTTTGACTTTGAGCGGTCACTTAATGGTTAAATATGGTAAGACCCTGTGCAAATTACGTAAGAGTTGTTAGTGTCGTGGTAGCTAAGAGCATCTCCAACGATTGCCCTATAATAGGGCACAAAAAAGTGCTTGGAGTAAAATTTGAGGCACTAAAAAGTGGTTTTTAGGGCACGGAACATGTTCATCTCCAGCAGCTGCCCTAAAATATATATGTTTGTCTTTTTGTGGGTGCCCTATTTTAGAGCGGCTATTGGAGTCACGTTTTTGAGCGAAAGCGATGTAAAATAAGCATTTCTTGTGGTCCTATGTGGTCCCTACTGCCCTAAAGATTTTTGGGCAGCCGCACGGCTGTTTTATACCTGCAACACTTGATGTTGTATTTTGGGGCTGCCAAACAAAAATTTGGAGCGGTTTTTCAAATAGCGGAGCTATTCGAGTTGTGTTTTTGAGTTGAAAAGTGGGGGACCACGGCTGCTGTTCTATTATAGGATTGCTATTGGAGATGCTTTAGGCCGTCCTTATTACATTCTTGAGGTCGCGGGATCCATTCACCAGAAATGCAAAATTTTCTCCCTTTTAAAGACAAAATTGGTGTTGTATTGAAAAATACATACATGCGACTGTATTCGAACTCAGGACGTAGCTAACGCTCAGATAGGACCTAGCGATTGCATTACAAGAGTGTTTGTGAGTAAATCAAGTTCAATATTTATCTATAGATGTGCTAAAAAATTGAATTCGAATTCTGATTTTAAATTTTGTCTGAAATTTCTTTGTTACCGCGGACCTCAAATCTCGCCCCCCACGATAGAAGACGGGCATTCGGAATCCAAAACCTTGAAGGCACCTCATCGTGGGTGGGTGACGATGTGTGTAGATATGGGGGGCGCCACAATGCTCTGCAACCCCTCTGTCCATGGGAACCGGGCCCCATGGAGGTAGCAACCCCGCAGTCAGGGGAGGAACGAGGTATTGCGGGAAGTGGCACACATAGCACACGGGAAGATGCGGGGGGCGACGAGACACAATGGAGCATCCGAATCACTTCCCTAGACAAACAGGGCCACCCGATGGAGCCCTGTCGCTTTCGCCGGCAGATTGGGCTTCACCCAGCAACGTCCTTCGGCGGTGAAGCGGAGAGCAAAGGGAAAGGAGGTGGTGCTTAGAGCGGGATGGGAGCCCCCGAGTTTCCTTGGGCAGGGGCAACACGAGGGACTTTTTTCAGGTCATCCAGAAAGGAAAAAAAAACATTACCAGCATTCAATTCATAGCACCATTTGGTGCCAAGCATGTAGTTGTTGCCGAACAAATACAAACCAGGGAGAACCGTTCAGAAAGGAAAACAAACAAAATCTCCTATATGAATTCTATGATGATGATTCGTTTCAATACGTTTCTTGTAAGTATCGGCACAAAATCCTTTGTTTAAAAAGGTTGCAATACCTTTAGAATAAAAGAAACAAAATCTATTTTTATTTAGGGTCACTTCATAAAAACAAATTAGAGTGTCTTTGCTAAAATTATATTTAGCTGAGATATCATTCTATACCATGTACGCGAATCCGCTTTTTTTTTCTTTGCATTGCATGTATGCGGATCCTATAAACACTAGTTCTGACTTTCGTATGGATCGTATTTGAAAACTAAGGTTCCGCCCAAGAAAAAATATATTCTAAACCATGATAATATATTGGTGCAACGTAAACTAACACATAGAGTAGTGAAAAGTAACAGCCAGGGAAGTTCTATTTGTTGGAACTAGTCAAAAATAGAGAGGTAAAAATGTGATGAGGCAAGTGAATTGAATGGGGTACACGTAAACTAAAAATCCCGACAAACAAATAAATCCTGGCAAACACGTAAATTATTCTAGATCGTGGTGATTTTATTTGTTGGAACCACTGTGATTTATTTGTCCAACAAACAAATATGTGGAGTTGGTGAAAACAATAGTCAGACCAGTTCTAGAAATAAATGCATGTAGTGGTTACCTGTGTCTCTGTCTCGAAGAACAGCAACGTGCAAGGCATTTTGTCCGTCTGCTCCGGAATAGGAGAGATTGCCATCACTCATATCATATAGAGTAAGTGCAATGGTGCTCTTCTCCAGCAAGATGGCAAGGTATAGGGGTGAAATGCCGTCTGCAGGATAATTAGCCAATTCGGGATCAGCACCCATTAGCAACTTCACAATAATATTTTCTTCTGGTGCGCCGTCAGCATTATTCATATGAACCCGACGTTGGCCTTCTTCATTTGGGACACCCTCTTTTCTTTTCTGCTCAACACGCTTATTCTTTTCTTCAGCGGGTTGAGCGGGATAAAGCAATGTTCTCTCCTTATGACCCAGAATTCTACCCTTCTCAACTCGGATAGCTTCATGCAGGGCCGTCTCGTGACGCTTATTTTCCATTCTCAACAGCCTGAGCATCGTGTCGGCACCATCACGTGCAGCTAGATGAATGAGATAAGAAACCATTTGGGGTTTCCCAGCTCGGGCAGCACAGTGTAACGGTGTATCACCCTTGTGGTTCGTCGCAAACAGGAGGCTCTTGTCCCTCTTATAGATGATGCCGGCATAAATCAAGAATTCCTGGCCCTCCCCATTAGTGCTGGCGACCACATGCAGTGCAGTATCCCCTTGAGGGGTGACGCCCATGAGGAGTGCTCCAGCTGCAAGCGAAGCAGCAGGCTGGTGGTCGGCGCCCTCTTCTACATCACGAGCAATTGACACTGCATCTCTTCCCTGGGCGATCTCAATGCCTCTCTTTTCCAACTCAAGATATTCTTGAGTAAGAATCATCATCGGTGGCTTTTTTGCGTCTTCCCTCTCGAGAAGGATTTTCAGCCCCACCCAAGAGCCCACGCGCGCGGTTACCAGTAGCAGGGGATTGATAATGTTACCAGCAGGTGGTTGGTCCTCCTCAGAAGGCTTCTTGCTCGCCGCCGTCACCACGACCATCGCCACAGCATCCTCTTGGTTGAGGACATCCTTCAACTTCTTGACATCGCCAGGGTCTGTGGCCACCATCAGTTTGGCGTCCATGGGCACTCTGGTTTGATGGTTGGATGGAGTGTATGAGGTTGGTTGTGCTCCCAGCTCCTATCTAGGTTCTAGGTGCACCCTTAACAGTACAAGTGCGATGTCTTCTCTTCTCCGCTTAAGCAGGTCGTGTTTTTTTAATAAAGTATGGGAGTACCTAGAACTCATTTAAATGAGATATAATTTGGCACAAAGTTTCTTTGTAGCTCGTCCTACATGGAACCTCTTATCTTCAGCCCTTCAATATTGCTTTGAGATCTGTACTCTTCAGCTAACTTGCAACAAGCAGATTTTTTTTTTGTTTCTCTCAAATGAAAGAACATATGGACTTCAAACTTTCCAGATCAAACAAACTTTACAACTTCAATGTGTGAAAAAACTTTCAGATTTTTTGGACCAACATAAATATACAAAATGTGAATTTTTTTGATTAAAAAAAATAAATTTTAGCATTTTAAATGCATAAAAAAATCTGAAAGTTTTTTCTCACGTAGTAATTAGAATGTTTTGTTGTCCTGCAAAGTGTGAAGTTTATACGTTGTTTCGTTTGATAGAAACAAAAATGACAAATGTGCCTGCACGGATCTTGATGCCAAAATGGATGGCTAAGATAAGGGGTACCGTGTAGCTCCAGCTACACAAAACCACACTCATAATTTGGTCTCATTCACTTTGAAAACAAGAATAGATACAACCCACGTCAGCACACACACATCTTATAGCATCACATCCAATGGTTATAAAAGGTGAATGAGACCAAATTATATCTCATCTAGATGAGTTCTAGCAAAACTGATAAAGTATACTCTGTCCGTCTCACAAGTCCCAATCTTAAAAAAAAAATTCTTCCTTGATGCATATGATGACCGGTTGAGGTTTTTCCGGGGGCACATAGCTGTCTATGGGCTTTAAACCTACTATATTGTCATATCAATCTTCGAGATGTACAGGCCCACATAGACTGACATCCTTTCTAAACAACAGTTGTATTAATCTGTCTTACAATGACCTCGAGACGTGCAAGGCCACATGAACATTGGCGCGGCTCTAAACCTACTCTTGTAATCTATCTTCACGATGTCCTCGAGATGTGCAAGGCCACATGAACACGCTGCTATCCTCCAAATTGTCAATGGCGATCTGTGGTCACATATAACTTCTTTAACTAGAAACATTGCCGTCGGTGGAGATCTATCGTTCTGCATTTTACAAACCTTCACACGATGATTTTTCTTTTGGGGACAATGGGAGGTCACCCTCCCAGCTCTCAACTTGCAATGCTGCAAGGGGCACATAACCATGTAAGAGCAAAACGGCTTACACATAAAGCACCAGGAGGACAACATCTTCGTGAAGAACGCAACGACTGTGCGGCAAGACTGTCGGAAGCAGCCACCGAAAGGCAGAGCACATGTTTCCACCCTAGAGTTCACCACTAGCTTGGTGTCCATGGCAACTGTGTGGTTTGCCAGTTGGATGCAGTGTATGAGGTTGGTTGTGCTCCCGACTCCTTTCTAGGGGCACCCCTAAAACAAGTGCGAAGTCTTCTCTCTTCTCCATCTAACCAAGTCGCTTTTTTGATTACTTGCTCGCTGTGTGACTCAAGACCTAATCTTAATTGTTTCCGGCTTCATGATGACCTGGTGAGGCTCATCCGGAACTCTAAACCTACATTTGTACTATTAATTTATCTTCACGATGTCATCGAGACGTGCAAGGCCACATGAGCACGCTGCTATCCTCCACGACTTTGGGTCATGCATAGTCATTGTATAGATTCTTTAAATAGAAACAAGACTGTCGGTGGAGATTTGAATCATTCTGGCTTTCACAAATGTTCACACAGTTATCTTAGGCCTTCATTCACTTTATTTTTCACGGAAGTCGTTTTATGACTGTTTATGTGGTTTCCTTTCATATCAATGAAATGAAATCGGGGGCGTGCTCTTTAATTCAAAAAATAATATTCACGGAAGTCGAAGATCCAAATAGCTGGGCACACAGCCGCATTTTCTTCCGAAGATGGATATGCTAGTTTCTTGGAGCACTTCGGCGTGCTAATAGGTTCCTCTCAGTTGCAGTTTTTGTCATAATGCAAGTTATTTGTTGTTACAGTGAATGCAAATTTGTTTTAAAATGTAATATCTAGACGGTATAGATATTTTATTGTTGCAGCTATAGATGCTAGAAACCAACCAACCCTAAGTGGCGTTTTGGCACATGGGAGTGTGGGCTCCTGATTTTTAAAATGTGTTTTAAATATATTTTGAAATGTCAAAAAATTCCAAGAAAAAACTTGGCGCGTACGTCTCGATATTGTACATGCTCACAAAGTCGTTTCTTGAAAACCGACAACTTTTGTGTCGCCGTGGAAAAAGACAAAATCCGGTGTTAAAAATGCTTTTCACAAGACATCCTTTTGTCTTTTTTACACAAGCCACAAAAATGTCGGTTTTTTCTGAAACTTGACGTGCACACATATAATGTCGAGATGTATGCGTCAAATCTTTGTTTGGAATTTTTTCACACTTTGAAATACTTTTTCGCGTGTAGAAGCGCGCGGAGCGCCAGCGGATTTCCGGAAACTAACATTATGAGATCGTCTCATAATAGTACGTTTGCTATAGATAATTTCATTTGGTCGTCTCACAAGTCACACACACAAGTCATTTTGTAGGCTAATTTCTGAATCACGATCTGGTGGAGGTTCTTTCGAGGCAAATGCCTAAAGAAAAGAAAAAAAAGGAACAGGTCCATACCTACTACCTAGCTACTATTCTGTTGATCCATCCGTGAAGATGAGCTGGACATGTGCCAAAGCACATGCAGACCTTTACTATACTCCAAATAGTACGACGGTCTCGAGTAGTCTCTTGGGAAAATCACATGGTAGTCGTTGGAGTACTGAACAATTTTCTCGCTGAATAATGCCAGAGTTGATATGAATCTTTTGCATCAAGCTCTGATTGCTAGAGTTGAGGGTAGAAAGGTTGAGACATTTCGATGTCAATCCCTTATGCTTTAGGTGTCACAAATATCATATGTATTCAAATATGAACACACCCTTATTTATAACAGGGATGATACTTGGAAAACAGGAGCTTGTAACTCAAGTATGAACACACCCATACAAGTCCTTTATGTGCTCAAAAGCAATGGCATTCAATTCTAGTTGAGTTACAAGCATGCATTTGTGGAAAATCACATCCGCCCCAACAATCTCCTTGCCTTTGATGTACTCAGGGCCGTACCTTCAAATTTTGGGGCTCGATGCAAAATCAAAATTAGGCCCTATATTTTACAAATATAAATTAAAATATTTTGTATAAATTATTGTGATGCTACAGATTTCGTCAGAGAATTCACACTTTATCTTAAAATGTAAACCTACCCAAAAAGAAAATATTAATGAAGTATCAGAAAGAAAAAGAATTATCAGAGCAGAAATTAATTAGAGGGGTGAGAGGGTGGAGACCATGAATGGCAGCACATGGTCTGATCGCTCTATTGAGTACCATGCAGTGAATGAGAAAAATAAATACAGAGAGAGATAGGGAGAGACGTGAGGTTGGCCTTAAAGGGTTTCGCTCTTAAAAGACCATTAGTACCTAATCTCGTGACCAGCAGTAATACTAATCTCTGATTTTGGGGGCCCCGAAATCTGGAGGCCCTGTGCACATGCCAAGATACGGGCTGGGATGTACTTGATGACATAAGGAAATGACTTGATGAATTTACTCCACTTCGCGTGATGCTTTATTCAATTTTGTTTGACCCTTAAGAACAAACTCATGAGGATGGAGATATTGCTCCCAAATATGCAAGACTCTCACTAAAGCATATAGTTCTTTATGATAGATAGGGTAGTTAAGTTGCGCTCCGAAAAGTTTTTCACTAAAATAAGCTATGGGGTGCTTCTCTTGCATCAACATAACTCCTATGCCATTACCGCTAGCATCGCAATGTACTTCAAAAGTTTTACTACCTCCGTCTCGGTGAATAAGTCGTTCGCGTAGTTCTAGGTCGACAATTTAACTATCTAAATATGTATTATACGTGACAAAAATATATATTTAGAAACTACATCCATGTAGAAATCTAGTGATATACTTTTCATGACATATAACACATATTTAATTCCTCAAATCGATGACCTAGAACTACGCGAATGACTTATTCACCTAGACGGAGGTAGTATCAAAGTTGGATAATGCAAGGAATGGAGCATGCTTAAGGAAATTCTTAAACTCATTAAATGTGGTATCTTGGGATGGTCCCAAAGCAAATGATGCATTCTTTTTGCTCAATGCGTGGAATGGTGATGCAATGGTGCTAAAATCCTTCACAAAGCGACGATAAAATCCGGCTAAGCTAAGGAAACTACGCACTTGTTGCAAGTTTGTTGATAGTGGCCAAGTTTTAATAGCTTCAATCTTGGTTTAGTCTACATGCACACCCTTAGACAATACAACAAATCCTAAAAAAACAAGCTCGTCAACGCCAAAAGTACATTTTTCCATGTTTGCATATAAGCGCTCATTTCTAAGAGTTTGTAAAACATCCCTAAGGTGCACAACATGATCCTCAAGGGAGTGACTAAACACAAGAATATCATCAAAGTAAACCACAACGCATATGCCAATTAACTTGCAAAGAACATAGTGCATCACATACATAAAAGTGTTAGGTGCTTCGGATAAGCCCATAGGCATAACTAACCAATCATACAAGCCAAATTTGGTCTTAAATACGGTTTTCCATTCGTCACCCTCTTGAATGTGTATTTGGTAGTAGCCACTTTTAAGATCAATCTTTGAAAAAATGGTGGCTCCACTTAATTCATCTAGCATGTCATCAAGGCGTGGAATGGGGTGTCAGTATCTAATGGTGATAGCATTAATGAGACGACAATATGAACACATGCGAAAACTACCATCTTTCTTAGGCACAAGAATAACCAGAACGACACAAGGGCTTAGGCTTTCACGTACATGCCTATTGTC